CTTCCTAATTGGCCTCCTTGTCTCTTTCCACTCAAGTTCATCCTACACATAACTGCTAACATGATTTTCCTTAAATGAAGATCTGATCATCTCACTCCCTTACTCAAACTCCTGTGGTTCTCTGTTGACTCTCGGATAAGATATAAACTTCTTGGTTTAGCTTTTAAAGTCCTTCATAATCTGATCCACTCTACCTACTTTTCCAGCTTCATTGTACACTACTTCCCCTCTTATAGTTTCTGATGCAGCCAAACTGACCTCTACCTGTTCCTCCCACATGATGCTCCACTTCTTTTCTCTGCCTTTGTACTGTCTATTCCCATGCCTAGAATTCACTACATCCTCATCTCCACCTCATAGAGTCCATCTCTTCATTCATGATGGAACTCAGGCACCACCTCTTACGTGAAACCTTTTCTGATCCTCCACTAACAACTGATATTGCCCTTCTTCTCAATCTGTTTTATATTTATTAACTTTTATTTATTCTGTGTATATTTATATATGTACTTCTATTTTTCCCCATTAGAATGTACACTTCTTCCAAGTAGGTATTGTTTTATTCTTTGTATTTCATCTCCAGTGTCTAGTACTGTGCCAAGCACATAGTAAGTGCTTAATAAATGTACCTACAATTAATAAATGTTGAGTGAGTGATTGATTGATTTGAATGAAATATTCTTTATTTCCTTTTGTCCAGTCTGGGAAGTTTTTGCGGTAGGTGAGAGCTTAAGTGTATTTAAAAGTTTTTTAAATTTTTTTATTCTGGATTTAATAAAGAACCAAAAAAGAACATTTCCCTGTACAAAGTAGAGCAGAAAAAGATTATTTGTGGAATTGAGAATCTCTCTTATGTACAGCATGCTTTGAAATACATACACATATAATAAATTCAGCGTATTACTTTTAAAACTGTCTTGCTTGTCGATTTTCCTTCTCAGCTTCCTTCTGTACATTTCCTTGCATTTAAAAAAATGCTTCAGTGAGCCCTTTTCTTTTTTTGACAGTACTATTACTAGCTTCCCTTTCCACCCAAATACTCTTCCCCCCAATAAAGAAAGAAAAACACAATCCTTTTGGCAAGTAGTAAGAAATACCCCCACCACCACCACCACCACCTCCCAATCTACATGTTTGCCATATCCAAAATTTATATCTCAGTCTGTTCCTTGAGTCCATCACCTCTCTATCAGGAGGTGGGTAGCAGGCTTCCTTATCTCTCCTTTGCAGTCATGATTAGTCATTACATTAGCCAAAGTTCTTAAGACTTGTAAAGTGTTTTTCCCCCCACAATGGTTTTGTTATTTGCAAAGTCTTCTCCTGCTGTTGTTCACTTAAATCTGTATCAGTTCACCCAAATCTTCCCAAGTTTCTTGGAAACTGTCTTTTTAGTAATTTTTCACAACCTAATATTCCATTACATTCATATAACATAATTTATTTAGCCATTCCTCAATTGGTGGACACTCTTTTTGTTTCCAGTGCTTTGCTACAACAAAAAAGAACTTCTGTAAATGTTTTTACATATAGGGCTTCCTAGGTGTAAGTCTAGTAGTGGTATCACTGAGTTTTTTAATTTATATTTTTCAAGTAAAAATTTTGGCTCATGGATAGGAAAGAAAATGTTCAACATATTAAGAGATAAAAGATTGTTTCTGCCAGGCTGGCATGGGAAAAAATGAGGAGGCTATTCAGATTGATATGGGCAAATGGGCAGGTCAGAAGCTCAAAAGAAAGGTAGAATAGACTTATAGAGGACTTTGAAACTCATGGTTAGAAGATAGTATAGGCTCTAGGATATCTAGGGTATGCATGCAAGAAGAGGGAGTTACAGTGACCTAGGTGAAAGATAATCATTACGTGGAAAAGATCAGTGACAGTGGACCTTGAGAAAAAGGGACAAATATCACTGATAATTGTGTGATAAGAATTGATGAGATTTAATGAGTCATTGAATATGCAGAGTAAAGGGATCTCCAAAAGGTGTCAGAGATCTTGAAGTTTCAAAAATAGATAATATATATTCATAAATAATAAATTAATTTAATTGATAACTAATTTTAAAAAATAATAAATAGACATAATTTCCAGCATAGATGATGAATTCAGGCGAGTTAGAAGAGAAAACTTGGAATTCCATTTTTGCTATGTTGTGTTAGAAGGAATGTTAGAACATTCACGTGAATATGGTGTGGGGAATATTGTTCAAGTGGAAATGGATCATAGAAAAGCACTTTGCAGGAGAGTGTAGCATGTCATTGGTGATAAACTGGCTGTTGACAAGGAGATGAAGGCTTAAGATACATAGTATGTTTAGAGGTAGAAGGGACCTTAGGACTATCTAATCCAACTACTTCAGGATTAAACTGAAGCCCCCAAAAGTCAAGTAAACATAGCTTGTCCAAGAGCTGACAAAGTTGGGGCTTAAACACAGGTCTCCTGGGATCTCAGTACAGTGCTCTTTTCACTATACTAGGCTGTATCTGGTTATGGGTTGAATGACCAGAGGTGGAAGAGCCCTTAGAGGCCATCTAGTTCAGCTGCTTTTTACAGATGAGGAACTAAGACCCAAAAAGGTAAAATTGAAAAGAAAATAAGTAGCAGAGATCAGATCAGAACCCGGATGTTTTGACTTGAAAACCAGCAGTCTTTCTATGTACTGTGCTCAGATCCCTTAGCTCTTTTTCTTTGTCCACAGACTCTTCCTCTAGTCTTTAAAAAAAATTTTTTTTTAGTTCTGAATTCTTTCTTCCCACCTGTCTTTTCTCTATCTGTTGAGAAAGCAAGAAGAACAAAACCTGTTACCTGTATGTATAGTCAAGGAAAACAAATTCCAGCATTAGCCATGTCCAAAAATAATATGCTTCAGTCTGCACTCTGAGTCTGTCACCTCTCTACCTAGAGGTGGGGAACATATTTTATCATGAGTCCTGTGGAATTGTGATTTGTTCCATTGTGTTGATCAGAGTTCAAGTTGTTTGTTTTTGTAATTTTGTTGTTATTGCATAAATTGTTCTCCTGGTTTTGCTCACTTCACTCTATATCAGTTCATACAAGTCTTCCCAGGTTTTTCTAAAACCTTCATCTCTTTCATCATTTCTTACAACACAGTAGCATTCCACTGTAATTTATTTAACCATTCCCCATTGGTAGGCACTCTGTCAGTTTTTAATTCTTTGCCACTATAAAAAGAGCTACTAGAAATATATTTTTTTAAATATATGTGCCCTTTTCCTTTTTGAGCTCTTTGGGGTATAGACTTAGTAGTGGTATTACTGGGTCAGAGGGTATGTACAGTTTAATAATTTTTTTGAAATACTTCCAAATTGCTTTCCAGAATAGCTGGACTAATTCACAGCTTTACTAGATGTGCATTAAAGTACCTATTTTCCTACAGCCCTTCCAGCATATGTCATTTTTCTTTTTTGGTCAACTTTGCTGATCTAATAAGTGTGAGGTATTAATGTATATTTCATTACTGGTGATTTAGAATGTTTTTTTTCACGTGGGTATTGATAACTTGGATTTCCTTCTGTAAAAATTGTCATTCTTCGACAATTAATTGGAGCATGGCTCTTCTTTTTACACATTTGAGTCAAATATTTAGGGATATAGCTTAGAAATAAATGAAACTTATGGAGAAACTTGCTGCAAAGGTTTTCTCCAATTTCCTCATTTTGCTTCTGATTTTAGCTGCATTGGTTTTGTGCAAAAACTGTATATGTAATCAGATTGTCCATTTTACTTTTTGTGAGTCTTTCTGTCTCTTATTTAGTCATGTGACTAGTAATTTCTTCCATGTTACTCTTAATTTGTTTTTGATGCTGCCTTTTATGTCTAAATCATGTACCTATTAGGAGCTTTTCTTGGTATATGATTTGAAATATTGGTCTCTGCCTAGTTTCTGCCTGACTACTTTCTGGTTTCCCAAAAGATGTTGTTGACAATAGATGATGATCAAAGATCTCAGCTAAGTTCTTGACCCAGTAGCTGAGATCTTTGATCTACCCCTAAGCTTAACCAGCTAGCAGCTTCATAATTGCAGTCTGTTAATAGGTGATAGCACAGTGTAATGACCAGTGTTAGACCTGGAGCTAAGAGACCTAATCTCAAATTATAACATTGATTAGCTGTGTGACCATGGGCAAGTCACTTCACCTAATTTTCTTCATCTGTAAAATGGAGTTAATCACCCATCTGATAGGGTGGTTGTGAGAAAAATCATTTTTAAAACTTAAAACATTAACTATGTAAAAGTGGGGAATCAGGTGATAGGATTAATCAACCCAAAGTCATTGCTGTTACTGCAAAAACAATTCAAAATCCAGGTTCTGCCTGCCAGCTTTATCTTATATGAATTTCAATAAATTACTCATTGATTAACTGAAAGAGTGAGGTTGACGAGTGAAAGAATGATAGCAGCTAAGATTCCCAAAGGAAGAAATCTACAAAGAGAAAAGTAGGGGTCTTAGAACAGGACATTGTAAGGAAGAGAGAATAGATAGTAGGAGAAGATGGTCAAGTCAGAGAGCATTTTTAGGGACACAGAGTTGCCAAAACAGATGGTAGAGGAACATTATTGAAGAGGTGAGAGGTAAATCATCAGACATTGATGCTTCAGAAACCAAGATTGAAGAGTGAAATGGTTAATTCTGGTAATACTAATTTATGTATTGATTTTTTATTACAAAATACTTTATATTATATCCCTATTGGACTTCACAATAGTGCTTTTGGAAATAGCAGTAGCTTCCTTTTCTAGTTAAGCTAACCAGGGCTTAAGAGAAGCAAAATGACTTTTTCAAGGTTACATAACTAGTCAGCGGTAAGAGAGGGAGAAGTGAATTATGTCAGAGACTTGCTAATGTGCACATGGACTATTTGCCTTTCCGATTATATGGGGAGAATGGCTCCCCATTTTCCTTGGTACCAGAGCTGTGTATTACTTGTAGTTGGGAAGTGATCAGCAGTTGTCATAATTGTGTGTGCTCTGTTTCTAGGCCACAAGGCACTTAAAGCATTGCTTAGGTCATTGGTGGATCTTCAGGAGGAACTGCTTTACCAGTATCCAGACACAAGATACCTCGTAGATGGAACAAAACCTAAAGAAGAAAGGTAAAGAAGGAATGGACCTGGGGGTGGGAGTGAGGGGGTCTGCTCCTTCCCTACTTTCCTGGTGGTATTTTATTATTTGTGAACAAGAAACCCTGACCTTTCCATATAGAGAGCAACACCTAATGTTTATGGCATTGAATAAGTATCTGCATGCATAGAAGACAGGATAGCTCGTGGACTTGCAGGATTAGTCAGTGCCTGCTCTGTGCAGAGCACTGAGTTAGACATGGGAGAAGTAGAAAGCTTCAGGACTGATCCCTACCCTCATAGAGTTAGTAATCTACAAGTTAGGGTTGGAGGAGGACATGCTTTTGGGGTGGCAGAACAGAAATAGACATCAATATCTGGGGTTACCTATATATATTTTTTTTTTTGAGTTACAGATTCTCTCCCCAGCCATTCAAAAGGCAAGCATAGTGACACCCACGATACGTGTGAAGTTATGCAAAATATATTTCTATAATAACTATGTTCCCTCAAACCCCCCCCCCCCCAAAAAGCAAGAAAAATAAAGTGGGAAAATATGCTTCAGTCTGTACTCAGTTCATCAGCTTTCTGGAGGTGGATAGTATTTTTCATCATGAGTTCTTTGGAATCGTCATGGATCATCCTGTTGATCAGAATAGCTAAATCTTTCACAGTTAATCATCCTTACAGTACTGCTGTTACTGAGTACAGTGTTTTACTGGTTTTGCTAACTTCACTTTTTATCAGTTCATGTGAGTCTTCGGGGGATACTTTTAATAAGCAGTGTACAGAATGAGTTTGGTAGGCATGGGGACACACTGGGAGATCAAAGAAGACTTTTCATGAATGGGGTTGTCTCAGGTTAGCTTTAAAAAAAGGGTAGAAATTCAGTAAAATGAATGAACGAAAAAGCATTTATTAAGCACACGCTGTGTCCCAAGTACTGGGGATGCAAAGCTGGGAATGGAGGGAGGATTTGTTTACAAATTAAGCTTCAAGTAAGAAGCTGGCCAGTGAGATGGTGATAAGAAACATTTTTGGAGTGACTAGAGAGTGGGTTTTGTGAGGCACTCAAGAGCAGCTTGGGCCCCATGATGGGAGTTCCAGAGCTGAAAGGGGAAGATGGACGTTGGCAAGGAAGGAATTATAGACATAGGAAAGAGCAGTCCCCAGGGCCTATAGCAGGCAAGTGTGGACATGCTTAGGGGAATTGTTTAACTTCATGGCCCTCAGGCGTGTGCAGAAGCCTTTTCTGAGATCAGCCTCAGAAGTCTAGGTGATGACATGTGATTGCGGAGGACTTTGCCAGGCCAAAGCATATTGGATTTTTAATTTTAGATATTTACTGTTTAAAAGACCGATTAATTTAGCATTGTGAAGCACTCTGGTCCATTACTGTAGAATCTCTGAATTACCATCTTCTTCAACATGATAAGGAGGATAATTCTTCTACAAGATTTTATTTCAACAACAGCTGCCTCACTCTCATATCTCCATCGGACAGATAGTTATTCCTTTTCAGCTTGCTTTGTTACTCTACTCCTCACTTCATGCTTGTCTTTTTTCCCCCTTTCCCCATGTTTATCATAAGGCCACAGGTTTAGCACTAGAAGGTGCCTCAGAGGGTTGTCTCATCCAGCTGATGAGAAAGCAAGTGAGAGGAGGGGGAAATGACTTGCCCAGGGTCACCTACATAATCAGTGATAAAGGTGCTCAAAAGAGAAGGAATTGGTCCCCTCTCCTGACCTTGACTGAAAACACTTGGACAAGGCAAAAGTGCTGGTATAGTTAGCTATTACAATGTGATTCATGAATGTAATGGAATACTGTTATAAGAAATGAGGAAATAGAGGATTTCAAAAAGACATGGAAAGACTTATGAACTGTGTGTGAAGAAGAAAAGACTATATATGAACTCACAGTGAAGTAAGCAGAATCAGAAGAACAATTTATGGTGTAACATCAATATTATACAAACAAATAATTTTGAGGACTTTTATAAACTGATAAAGAATGAAATGAGCAGAACCAGGAGAACAATTTATACAGTAACAACACTGTAAAAACAGACTATTTTGAAAGCTATAATAACCAAGACCAATACAATGAGAAGGACCAATGATCAATTAATTACTAACCATTATTAAGTACATACTATGTGCCAGGCACTGCTACGTATGACAGAGGGGTGATGGTTATAGTGTGTAGACTGAGCCATAATTTTTTTGTATGCAACCATTGAGGGAATTTGTTTTACGTGACTCTGCATATTTGTTACAAGAAGGTTTTGTTTGTTTGTTTGTGGGTGTTTTTTTTGGGGGGGGGAGTTTGTTTTTTTGTGGATCAGGAGGCAGGAGAGAGAGAGAAAGTAGATATTTTGTTCATTTTTTAAAAAGTTGGAGGGTTCTACAGATGTGGGATTGTTGCATGCACTTGCAGATGAGTCATTATGTTTTACGTAATCATTTTGCTTTGATACAAGAGTCCTCTCATGAAGTGGGAGTAATATCTGTTAATGTTTGAAATGTAAAAACCAAACACATCAATAAAACTTTTTTTAAAAGTTGAAGTTTGAGTTGCACAGATGCCCCTTTTGAAAATCCAACTATACGCAGCAGGTGTACATCTGTTGTGCTCCGTATTTGCCTTGATACTGCTGTCTGTCTTTTTGTCTTATTTCTTGGGGCCAAGGTATTGGGTGAGCCTGATGCTTCCATTTTTCGTGAATCGTTATTAGTCCACATTTCCATTTTGGCTTTTGATTAAAAGTTGTATTTGGGAGTATTCTTTAGTTTACTGCTTTTGAAATCCATTTTTTGATGTTCATCAATAATAATGCATCTGACTCTAATGTTATTAAAAGCCTTTACCATGTATTTACTTCTATTTCTGGTTTGTTGTACAGTCATTTTAGTCATGTCTGACTCTTCATGATCCCCTTTGTGGTTTTCTTGGTAAAGATACTAGAGTGGTTTGTTATTTCCTTCTCCAGCTCATTTTACACATGAGGAACTAAGGCAAATAGGGTTAAATGACTTGCTCAGGTTACACAGCTATTAAGTGTCAGACCCAGATTTGAACTCAGAGAGATGAGTCTTCCTGACTCCAAGCCCAGTGCTCTATCTACTGCACCACACCTCTGGTTAATTTTCTGAAATTCACCTAGTTTAGGCCACAAAGACAGATTGCTCAGTTTTCTTTTTATGCTTGTGAGAATGACCTCTTAGAAATAACCAAACCAAACTGCTCTTTTGGGTGTTCTGTGGCCCTGTCTGAACATGGCCTTTGAACAGGAGGGCCTAGTTGAAAGCTTGTCTAGTCTAACTAGACCTGACCAAAAATTTATTTCCCTCTCTATTATCTTTTGTTTTTATATCACCTAAATTTCCACATGCAGCCCTCCCCCTTTCCGAGAGACATCCTTCCTATATAATATAACAAAGAATTTTTTTTAAAAAAAGAAAGTAAGAGAAAGAGGAGGAAGAGAAAAATTAATCAGAATCAATCAGTACATCCAAATAAAGGGGGGTGTGATATATACAGTGTTCCACTGCCGTGTTCCTCTGTCCTCTACCAGAGTTGGGGGAACATGTTTTTTCATGACATTTCTTGTTGGCTATGTGATTTGTAATTTTGCAACATTTATTTTTGATTGTTTTGTGGTTGTACTTTCCACTTACATTGTTATAGTCATTGGTTCTGCTTACTTCATTTTGCATCATCAATTCCTGTAAATCTTTCCTTGGCCTCTCTGCATTCATCATATTCATCATTTCTTATAGCACAATAATCCTTTACATTCATATGCCATAATTTATTTAGCCCATTCCCCATTCGATTGGTGCTTCTTTGTTTCCAGCTATTTGCTACCGCAAAAAAGAGTTGTTGTAAATATTTTAGTATGTTCTTTTTTTTTTTTTTTAAATCTTATTAGTGACTCTCCTTTATTAAAACCCTTCTTTTTACCAGTGACTCTCACCAGGGTATATTTTAGTTGTGGAATCTCTAAGACAAAAGATGTGGGCATTTTGGTCACTTTATTTCCAAAATTGCTTTCCAAAATGATTGCACTAATTTACAGCTTCACCAACGATGGATTCATGTGTCAGTATTTACAAAACTCCTCTAATACTGCCTATTCCCATCTTTTGTCATCTTTGCCGATTTTATGGATATGACATGAAATCTCAGGGTTGTCATTTGCATTTCCCTTGTTATTAGTGATTTGGAACATTCTTTTATGTATTTGTTAAATCACTTGATTTCTCTTAATGAAGTCTAGTCTGACATTAGGTTTTTGGGTTATCACACTGCTAGTGGCTTAAAATTGAGCTTGTGCTACACTAAATATCCCAAGTTGTGGTTTGCTTGGTTTACTCTGTGGACATCCTACAAGTATGAGATGGTCTCAGCCTCATGTCCTTTTCCCATCACAGTTATTTCTTAACCACCCATCTACCAGAGAGCCTTCACTTGTTCTCTGCTACTTGTGCTAAGAAGTAGGTTGAATTAGCAGGGTGTCAGGCTCTGGGTCTTACCTCTCTGGGGTTCTCCCCTGATTCCTCACATATATAAGCCCTTTCTTTCCACTACATGATTTCTCTCAACAATGGGCCAATCTCTTTGTTTTTCCCAGTGAGGACGAGATCCCTAGTGAGGAGGAAGAGGCTGTGGTGGGGGAGTATCAGCAGAGGAGAGGCCCTCCCAAGAGAAAGCTGGAGATGGATGACTATCCCGGCTTTATGGCAAAGCGCTTTGCTGATTTCACAGCCTACAGGAACCGTACGCTTCAGAAATGGCATGACAAAACTAGATTGGCTTCTGGCAAGCTGGGGAAGGCAAGTATGTGTTGGGGGGTTGGTGTAGCATGTCTGTGCATGTACCTGGGCACATGGCCCCTTAGGGTAGGGCAGGAATGGTTTTAGGAAACTGACATTTTGGCTGTGTTGGATGGGAAAAAAATCACATTATGATAGTAAACAAGAATTCCTCTATGTGCCTTCCTTGCAGATGTAGGACATTGGGTTAGTTTCATGGTCCTTAGATCTCCTCTCTCCCCTTTAGACCTCATCACTTCATTGACCCAGAGCTATAACCATCACAGGCACAAGACTTTTTTTCCTTAGAAATACTAGATCTCTAGAAATTAAATTTGCTGAAAATGAAAAATACTATAGGAATCGTTGGTTCTTTATTATTAGAGGAAGAAAAAGTTGTTTGCCTAAGAGAGGGTGTTGACCAGGCCATTAAAGAGCTTTGGGTCTTTCTGAGGTTGATTTTTAAAGAACCAGCTGCCCCCAGATGTAGTTCTAAACAATAAGCAGCTGTGCTGACATGAAAAGATAGAGAAGCCAATGTTGCTGCGTTTAACCCTTGGATTTCTGCATTATCTGACGCTGGCTAATGTCGTTCCTTGCAGGGTTTTGGTGCCTTTGAGCGCTCAGTCTTGACTCAGATTGACCATATTCTGATGGACAAAGAGAGATTGCTCCGAAGGACACAGATGAAGCGCTCCGTGTACCGTGTGCTTGGCAGAGCTGAGCCAGTAGCTGAGCTTGTTCCAGAGAGTTTGCCAGGGCAGCCGGTAAGGGCTCTGTAATGGCGGCAGCTTATGGAGAACAATATCTGTGTGGTTAATTAGCTGAAAAGCTGAGCAGGTTCTTGTGGATATCATTATCCACAGAAAGTCAGCTTGTAAGAGAAGTATAGAGTGGAAAAACCAACTGAATGGATAATTGAGAAAGAGAAGAATACAGAGGATGGAAAAGTTGTGTTTTGTTTTTTTTTAAATGGGTCAGCTGAAATATGGGAACATTAAAACCTCACGTGCTTTTAGTTTTGAGTTTCGTTTGAGGCCAGGAGATATGAAGCAATAGAAATCCATGTTTTTGGTTGATCCTATAACATCACTTCTATAGAAATTTCTAATTTGGGACAGGTCAAGACTGTTGTCTGTGTCTCAAAGGCTTTTCCTGAACTTGTTTCCCAATCCACACTCTTGTGAACCAGTAAAATATGTAAATTCTATACCTTGGACTGTGCTACCATCATTCAGAGTATAGTGTGGGGCTCTCAGTGACTTGGGTGGTAAAGATAAAAGCAAGGCGGACACAGACAAGGAAAGGGAAAGGAGCAAAAGGAAGTTGCAGAGAAGAGGATAGTGACTTAGTTTTTTAAGTTTAGAGATTTTAGAAAGTAAAGAGTATTGGCAGTGTGTTTTGTGAGCCATTGAGTATTTGCCTTGGACCATTGCCAGTGAAAAGCCAGTGTTTGGGAAGCTCTCCTAGTGAAAAGAGGCTGAAGTTGGGATCATTAAATATTTTTATCACATCCATTGAGCAAATCAAATAGGTAGATGTCTGCCCGCTTGTGAATTTACATTTTAAAAGAGAAAGTGTGAGAGAGAAGAAGAGAAAATTTGGAGTTGTAGACTGTCTTAATACAATGCTTTCATTGTATTCAGGAGTAATTCCATATTCACAAAGTCCCCAGTCTACTTTATTAAATTCATTATAGCGTCTCCCTCTGGTGCATTTAAAAAAATAATTTTTATTGATTTATTTTGTTTTTATATCATTTAAATTTCTCCGATTTTTTACATTTTTAAATTTCTTATCCCTGCCCCTATCTCAGAGAGCCATCCCATATAGAATTTTTTAATAGAAGAAAAAGAAAACAAAAAAAAATCAGTATATTAAAAAAAAACCCAAAATATATGCAATATTATTCCACATCCATAAACCTCCTACCTCTGCAAAGAGGGTAAGAGTAGAGGAGGGAGGTATCTTTTCATATTTTTTCTTTGGAGCCATGTTTGTTTATCATTTTTGCAATGTTCACTTTTGACTTTTTTTATTCTTTCCATTTACATGGTTATAGGTATTGTTTATATTATTTTCTTGACTCTGCTTACTTCATCCTGCATCATTTCATGGAAGTCTTTCCATGCTTCTTTGTAGTCATCATATTTATTTTTTTTACAGGATAGTAATATTCTTTTGCACTCGTGTACCGCAATTTCCCCCACTTCTTTTTTAGAAAGTGTTATTGATTCTTTAAATATACATTTATATGTATAGTCACTTCTGAATAACTACATCCCTCCTGCCTAATAGAACCCACCCTTATAACAAAAATAGTTAAGCAAAATATACACATTAGCCATGTCTGACATCTTATGCCACATTCTGTATCTATAGTCAATTGCTTCTCTATCAAGGAGCAAATGAAAAAAATTATGTAAGATGCTTTGCAAAATTTAAGGAGTCAGTTATGATAATGGTGATAGAAATATATTTTGTCATCAGTCCTCTAGAGTTAAGATTGTATTAATCTGAATTCTGGTGACTTTTAAAAGTGTTCCTATACGTTATTGTGGTCAGCATCAGTTCACACAAGTCTTTCAAAGTTACTCTGAATTCCTTGTCTTTACGACTTAGATGGATTTGTAATCTCATCAGTGTAGGTATTCCCTCCATCCATGCCTGCCTCTCTTTGACTCATATATCCATAAGTTTGGCATGGAAGTCTACTTGATATGCTAGGGACCTTCCTTGATTTCTCTCGACATTGTGAGAGAACTACTGGGCTGTTATCAGTTTTCCCTCACTCACACCACAGGACCAAACTATCTTCTCTTTTGTTAATACTTTGATGACAAATCTTTTCCTAAAGTTCTTAATTTCTTGTTTGGTATGTGTTGCATTCTGCTCACAAACACCACTCATCTATCCTTTGCCTTGTGGATGATAATATTTTTTGGAAACTATCATGCTTCATGACTTAGAGCCATATAGCAACACAGGAAGAATATCAATATTGAAAAGGTAGGTCTTTGTTTCAAGGAGAAGTCTCTGGAAATCATTAAAAGAACTTTGCATTTTCCCAAGGCAACACATCCTATTCCCCTGTTCATTTCTGCATCCAATTCAATTCATTGTCTCTTTGTTCAAGATCAATATGTACTGATAGATGAATTTTAGAGATTGTTTACCTAACTGCATATCTGGACAGTAGGCATTTTTCATCCTCTTGGTTTTTCCTGTGTGTTTGGTTATATCAAACTCTTTTGAGTGGTTATAGATCTTGTCTTGGAGGCTGTGCACTGTTCCTGGATCTGATGCAGAGTCATTTCTTATAGTATTCTATTTCATTCACATTATTTTTCATCTCTCGTTTTATTTTACTTTTCATTTAACAAGCACTTATTTTCTCTTCTCACTCCTCCCAATTTAAAAGATAAAAAAGAAAACAAAGCCTTTGCAAGCAAATATTCATAATCAAATAAAACAAATTCCCAAATTGTCCATGTCCAAAAATAGTATCACATTCATATTAACACAGATACACAGACATAGGTGGGGTTTGTGATCTTGATTGTTGAAGGAAATGCATCAATGAGATAACAGATCTCTATTAATATGCCGCAGTTTGTACAGTCATTCACCTATCAATGAGCATCCACTTTTTTTTTCCTAATTTTTTTTGTTGTTAAAAATCTTGCTGTGAATATTGAGCCTTTCAGTCTTTGACCTCCTTGGGATATGTGACCATTAGTGAGTATTGCTCAGTCAAAGGATATTTTAGCCACTCTTCTTGAAGAATTTCAAATTGTTTTTCAGAGTGGTTGGACCAATTCACAACTCCATCTATAGTGTCTGTTATCCCATAGCCATTCCAACATTGATTATTTGCCAATTTGATGGGTATGTGATGAATCCTCAGAATTGTAAAAATCGTCTAATCAGATATCTTTGCCAAAATAAAATAAAATAAAATAAAAAAGACTTTTAATCTGTTATTTAAGCTAAATTTAAAATGAACGAGCTCAAGAGCCATTCCCCAGTAGGTAATTGGTCAAAAGACTTTTAACAATTTTCAAAAAGAAGAAATTCAGCCTATCAACAATCATAATGGGGGGGGCTGTATATCACTATTAATAAGAGAAATGCAAATTTAAAAATCTGCACACATTCTTCCCCCTTCTCTTTGCTGGTGCAGGAAATATTGCCTGAAGTCCCAGCCAATGCTCACCTGAAAGACTTGGATGAAGAAATCTTTGATGATGATGATTTTTATCACCAGGTATGTTTTTTAGACACTTTCATTTCAGTATATGTTTTGGAGTTTTGAGAAAAGTACCAGTTTGTGTTTTGGACTGGCAACCAGACCTTTGGGTTCAGTATTTGCATCCTGTGTGTATTGATTTAGTGAGTTTCTCTTTTATGGTATGAAAACCATTGTGCCTGTCTCATTAGGATTTGTTTACTGTACACCAAATTATGCACGTGGAACACTTTCAACTCTTTGATGGAGGGAGAAGAAGATTATTTTTTCCCAGCCACTTTGTGATATGTGACTATTTTTTAGTTATTTGGTTTTGTATTGTAGCACTGTTGTTAGGATGTAGAACAGGGCCTGGCATTTTAACACTCCACTCTGAATGTAATCCCAGCTCTGTTATTGTATATTTAGATTCTAGTCTTGGAGGCTTTTTCCTGTCTATTCTGATCAATTCAATGAGTGTTTATTGAATGTCTTCTATATACCCATAGAAATGAAAACATCTAACTTCTAAAATCATCCTAGTAAAATGTGTGAAGATGGAGAATCTCTAGGTGTGTAAATACCCTCATATGTAGCCACATCTCACACCCTTTTCCTCTTGAACCCTGATTTCTGAAATTTGTATTTGATTCTGTGGTGTTGTTGATGACTGTTGTATTAAGAGGTTTTTAATGTTCAGGCTGCTCTGCAGAAGTAAAGTTTATTTACTATAATATTGGTTTTCTTGATGTGTCACATTTCTTATTGAATGGGCTTCAGCATTTTCCCTATTGTCTTCAGGTTGTACCTTTCCTAGTTCAAAGGATGATCAGAGTGCTATTCAGAATTGAGAAAGCTGATTTTTATCAAGGTTTTTTTTACCCTTGTAGAATTCTGAGGTGGCTGAAGAGGTTTAGCCAGAAAAGCTTAAAACTGTTTGTTGCAGGTATGACCAATGACTACACTTATTAAAATACAAAGATTCCAAAAAGCATTTTCTCTAGAAAGTAAGTGAATATTGTAGAACCCAAAGAATAAACCAATTCTATCAAGGGATTGTTCTGCCTTTGCCCTGCAGGGGAAAAAAATAAGAGTCCCCCATTACTCTCTCATTCCATTTACTCCATAGCATTCTTTTATAAAATTGTAACTGTACATGAATCTTAAGAGTGATGGTGAGGGGGCTGGCTAAGAGGGATTGGTAAGGCCTCTGGTAAGGCCTCAGGTGTTCTCACTCAGAGTTTCCTGATTCTTTTTTTCTTTTCCCTTTTTTCTCCTTCCCTGTATTCTCTTGTCAGCTGAATAGGGACCTCTGTTCTGTTCTGGAGTGTCTACAGAATGGCATGATCTGGGATATTAATGCTGGATAATTGTGTGAGATCACGAGAGACAATCAGAAATGTTCCAATCCCCATTAATTCAAGTGTGTATTGTTAGATAGAAAGTGCATCATAAATTAAATGGCTTAATAAAACAAACTGAAATTACTAGGGAGAAGATGCTTCCACAGGCAATCCTTAGGCTCTAACAGTTATTTATTTTTTTTTTTTTGGCCTGAAGAGACATTTAAAGAGAAATAGCATTAGTTGATTGGCCCTTCATCCTGACTAATAATTTTAAATTCGATAAATTCTGATTTCAGAGTTATGACGAGTCACATCTTAGCTTTTCCCCTTGCTGGTTAATTGGGGTGCTGGGGTTAATCTAAATTAAAACTTAAACTAATAGAGGTCAGTGAGGCAGCCGAAACACCTGAGTAAAACAAATGGGGCTGCCAGGCGCAACTTTATCTTGGCTGTTTCCCAAGAGGGAAGTGGCAGCAAATTGGAGTTGTTTCAGCCTTCTGTAAAGGTGAATGATGGGTGACACTTGTTAATGTACAGCATCTCCGGAAGCATTCCAGATTGCTTTGCTACTGTACCAACTGCTGCCATCCGTGCACAGTCAGTAGGAACAGGACCAGTTGCCAACATCTGGCAGCACAGCAAGGAATGGGTGCAAGTCTTGAAACCCCGCAGACTCTAAATATGGTGCTTAGAACTGTGCAAGCTTTAATCACTTACCACTCTTTGGCAGCAGGCTACGACAGCTTATCCTAGCCTCGTACATCACACACCGACATCTGCTGAGCCGCAAGGCAGCTGCACATTCATTTTCCTTTCTTGCTTTTTTCTATTTGCCTCCTACTCCTCTCCTTTCCCCTTTCGCCCCCTCCCTTCAGCTTTGCTCCCCCTTCCCAAAATGCTTCTTGGGAGAGATGATCTGTAAAGATTACTGCTTCATTGTGTGCAAGTAATTGTGGGAATGCCAGGCTCTTGACAGACACAACGTAGCACCTGTTCTGCTGACCTGGTTAATTTTTTCTGTTGAGTGGGATTTGCCAGAGATTTGAGCTGAAGCCAATTCAATGATAAGGCTGAAGAAAATGGCTGTGTGTTTTCTGTCACCTCCCAATTAAATTGGTTTCGTAAAGTGCTTTCCTTTATTTGTCAGTTTAGTAAGCCAGAGCTAGGTATTGCATTCAGAAGTGGTACAATGTATTACAATGGGCTTGTGAGGTTTTGTTTTTGTTTTTCATATGGTCTCAATGAAGAGCTTGTATAATACACCTTACAAGTTCACTTCTTTTTTGACCAAACTTAAAGCCCAGACTTTTTGGATCCTTGTGTTTTTCAAGAAAGAGATTATAATTGTATTGAATTTTAATGTTCACTCTAAGAACATTTCAGAGGCATACTTTGTTAATTCAGGTGTCATGAAATTGTGCAAATGTCCTAACAGCTCCACTCCCTGCTAAGGGACTTTAGTTACTGTAGTTTTAAACAACACCTTTTTTGGAAATCCCTGAAAAGTATTTCTTAAATTTGCCTTCTTTAAGATATAAAGAGACTTTGTGGTAACATAGCGATACTCAGTTTTTAAACTAAGCAGAGTTTAATTTATGTAGAACCTTTTAAAAGTTTTTCCTTTAGATGAATACCAGCTTACTTAGCTGATGTCAATGGATATTTTTAATTAAAAATTAGTTCTGCAATTTTGTGTTGGCTAGTAGTTTGATATATACTTGATAATGGAGATTTGATAAAGGGAAATGAAATGTTCACTTACTGAAGGGTTCTATTGATCATACATACTCCAAAAGGAATTGTTTTACTTGGGGTTAACCTGCTTTTTTGTTAGTACCAGACCTCTTCCCTGAGAACACTTAGACCTACCTACAAACAATCAAGAATTTTTGTAAACTTTGATAGGGAAGGAGGGAATATTCTGTTAATTCCTATATACTCTCACAATTTTGTAACTGAACTTTCTATCCATAAGACCTACATCTGTTTTTCCTCTTATTATTTATTAGAGGATTTTCTGATTCAGTAAAATTTGCTTTCTTGCAGGTGATTTGCCAAAGCTTACGACATTAAAACTATACAGAGTATCTTCTTTTACTTCCATTCTTTTTCAGAAGTCTGTAAGAAAACTTAAGCTAGTTTGTTTACAGCCCATAGGAACCAATTGAACTGAGGTGTATACAAATCGATGCTTGCATTTCTGAGGGCTCGTTAGGCTTTCGCATGTTGCTCCTGGCTCTGTTCAGTTTTTTACTGGCTATTCCCATCATTTTGTATTGAACTGTCAGTGTAGAGAAAAGCATAATAGGTTTTGCTCTTCTGGTGCCCAGCTTGATGGGTTAAATTTCTCCTCTGATTTGCTGTCAGGACATGTCTATGACTGTCCTTGGTCACATGCTGGGTTTTTGTCTCCCAGGCATTTGATAATGCCATAAACAAGTAATTACTAATCCAGTGAACTATTAAGAGTCAATAATGTTGAGAAATAGAGAAGAGGCAAGCTTTCTGACAAGATGGTTTACTTTAATTAAATTGGTGAGTGATTAATATGGACAGTTGATCGGGTTGCTTTAATTGGATGCATTTAGATTTTTGTGTGAATAAGAGATGTTTTCAAGCCATTCCTAAGGTTAGTGGCAGTAGCATTCTTATTGTTGTTGTGTATCTTTCCTATGATAGGTTGATAGTTAACAACATTTTGAAGTTTGATTTGAATCCTCTCCTTAATGAGGTGTTGGAAGAAGAGCAAATTTTTGTTGTTGAGAACATCTCATTTTTTTAAGGTTGTTTTCAAGTAATTCTGTCATTTGGTAGGTCTAAGTAGTGTCTCTCAAAAGTTTATTGAAACCTATTATAAATAGAAAGACCTTTATAGTAATTTTTAAAAGTTGCCATATATAGTATGTAGACTAGAATGATTGAGATTGAAAAGATAGTTAGGACCTGGACTAATAAGTTTTTCTTTTTATAGAATGGCTATATTAAAAAAAAAAATCCCAAATAACCAAGCCAACTAAATAATCACATCCCTCCCCCCCGCTCTCTCTCTCTCTCTCTCTCTCTCTCTCTCTCTTTCTCTCTACGTGTGTGTGTGTGTATGTGTGTGTGACCATAAGATTTTAGTAATAATAGTCATTTTTCTAAAAAAAATTCTGCTTAAGATGTATGTGGTTTTATTTTTGGTGCAATGTGTCCTTAAAAAATCTTTACAGAAAATGCTGCCATTTGTAGGTCTGTCAACTTTCAGATCCAAATGGCGCATCAGTATTGGCATTTGATCGATAGCCTGTGCTTACTGTAATGTGGTCTGCACAGGATGGAAGGCTCAAAGTCACACTTTAAATGCAAGGCCCGGAAACTTCATCAAATAGCAGCTGAGAGGGAAGGTACACATGAATGGTCCCTCATTTCTTCCGGTGTTCTTGCTTTGAGAAGCATCAGAGCATGACTTCACTTAACTTTAAAAAAAAAAAAAAGGTCTAAAACAAAGGCAAAACTAAAGCATAAGATACTTCATGGGATAAGCCAACAAAGAGTTGACTGGAAGCTGTTGAGGAAACTTTTTCAAACAAATAGTATACAAGGACTTTGCTAAGCAAATACATGGCCAAAACAGCCTTGTTACTACTTAATAAGCATTAATAAGTTGTCAGCTGGTTACATGTAAATTAAACAAAGGCTTCTGGCAATCTT